GTGGGGGGGGGGAGGGGGGGGGGGGGGCGGCTGCAGCAGCTCCCATCTTGAGAACATATGCTGATTGGACTATTGTAGACATCAACCCTTGTGGCATTAGAATGGGATACTTTGTCGACTGCAAGGGCTGCTCTCTTCTTTCAAAACGCCAGACAAGGGGGCGGTGCGGTTGTTAGTGATTATAATCAGCAGTACCAGCACCAACGGCAGTACTGGGAACCCGGTAGATACGCATTAGAAGCGCATGATAAGACGAGAACCCTGGGCCCTTTAGTTGTCACCTCGACAAAGCCTCCTGCAAGAGCATCAAAGGTTGTTGGGCGAATTTCGAATTTGGCATTTACCCTGGGCCGCAGCATTTATGTTGCTTTTCTGCAAAACTTCCTTCCTCGAGTTTGCATTTCTTTGTTTAGTGGTCTCGCTTGCTGCACCGTCTGCACTTGAAAGCTAGATGCACTGTTGCATTTCTTCTTATAGTTCTAACGCCGGCCTTTCTGCTCCTCTAACGGCAATAGGAACTACAGTGAGTTCTTCGACCGTGCTCCAATGCTTGAGAGCGTTAGAGGTCTGGAATACACAGCCACCCCTATCATGGCCCGGTCTCTCCCTATGTAATCGTCTGGCTGGGTAGACAGCCAGCCACATGCAGTCCCAGGTGGGGCTTCATGCATTTTGGCGTGTAGTGCGTATACGTCCGTTCCTTCGATCCCAAGGAGCACACGAACCACATAGGCAATTGCAGGCAAGTACTGCGACAGGAAGAAACAGGTGGATGCATACAAGCATGGAAGAGGCAGTCCACAGAAGGAGACAGAGCAGGCAGGAGCAGGCAAGCAGACACTCCAACTTGGATGGGGGAAGGAAGAGTCCAAGTTTCACTGAAGGCTGCTACTACAACACTAGCGAAGACAGCCGTCATAGCACTGCTACATCAAGCCACTCACGCGGGGGCCAAGGACTCCCAGGGCCCCTGCGCAAGTGCCGAGAGGCCCATAGATACTGCCGCCCCTACAGGGGGGGCCTCTTGTGGGCCTGCAGGAGGATCCAGAGCTACTGGGAACTCATGAGGCCCTTCTCGGCCTATCTCCCGTTACTTAGTTACACTAGAAGCCTCTCGTTGCAGTGGTAATGGCATGGCAACAACTGCTGCAGCTACAGATTGGACTGCTGCTGCAAACCCAACATCAGCTGAAGCAAAGGTCAAAGCGGCAGGAAAAGGCCCTGAGAGCGGCGAGCAAAGTTCAACTCACTGCTTCTCCTATGCCCGCTGCAGCAAAGGGTTGCATCAAGATCATTTGCTGCAGTTACGAGCGCTGCAATGTGTAACATCCAGACGTTATGCTGTTACAGAAGCTGGCGTGGGCACTGCCGCCACCCCCGCAAAGTTATTTGCTGGGAATTCAAGAGGAAATAGCCTTCTCAAAGAAGTGAGGGGCAGCCCGATGGGCTCTACTGAGGACGTCCCCCTATTTGTTACATTTCGGTAGATAGTTGATTCTGTTGCTTTTGCGTAGGCAGACCTACAATGCTTTTGCATAAGACATTGTGGGAGCCTTTTCTTGGTTTGTTGAACACACAGAAGCATTTAGGGGCATCCCTTCAATAACCGCGCAACCCCGTTGAAGGCATAAGAGAAGCGGGGCAGGACGGCCCCACTGCAAATACAGTCTTGTTTTACTTTCTGCTCTGACTAGGGCCGAGAGCAAAGACATGTAAAGCTACCACGTTAAATTAAAAGGTCAAAGTGCTGCGGTACACGGCGGTGACGGGTTGGCTCGTTGCCCTTCTTTACTGTGCACGATATTCCCAAAGCAACAGACAATAGGTTCCAGAGTAGACAAAGAACATGAACGAGGTATGGGAAATAAACTGATTTACAGGCTCATACGAACAGAAAATAAATTGCAGGGAAAGGGCCAGCACCACCGGGACCGGGCATTCCATTTTGAAGCCCACAGGAGCGCATGTGCTCGTGGGGATGTGCGGCTGCATATTCGGTGCGTTCCCGCCTAACTCAAAATTTATTTCAATAGTAAAATTCGGTGTCTTTCTACAGCTGGTGCTTCACTAGCAAATTGGCGAAATAAGTTGTTCAGCGCCAGGCCTTTAGGAAAGACTCCACTGTACTGCCTCAACCAGCACTGGACATTGGGGCAAATATGGTCTAAGACACGCAATAAAGTAGGAATAATTATCTTCTCTATCGGATGTTTCTATTCTATCGTGCCTAAACGTGTTTTCTATCGTGCCCAGATCCCCCCGTAGAAGGCAGGTCGTTTGGGTTTGGGGGGCGGGGGAGGGGGGCAATGGGGAAGGTGCTTCAGAAGCTCTAAGGTGCTTTTGTTTCGAAAGTTATCTGGAAAAAGCAGCTTTAAAAAATTAACGGACAACAAAGCTAGGAGAATGTGAAGGCAGCTGCTGCACTATGCCATTCCATACATCCCGCTTGGGATCCGGCCACTCCGCACACTCTCGCACACAGACAAGTGAAAAAGGCAAATAAATGAGTTGCCTTCTCTGTAACCGATTATACTACTAAAAAAGCGCTGAAATAATGCAAGTAGTCTGAAAATAGAGGTATACAAGTAGTAGCTTCGCTATAGTTTTAGCAGGTTATGGAGGGGCCGGCGCCGCAGCCACCTCATGAAGCACAACTCCACTCTCTCGATTGGCTAAAGGGGGCTGTGCGCATTCTCAAGTGCGCAGTTGGCAGTTCCGCCTCTTCACTTCGGTGGAACAAGCATGAAATAATTGCTTCAGACAGTATAGATGTATGCACTTTTCTCACAGATTACCTCTCCTCTGTGTTTCCCCTGTTTGAACGTTGGAAACACATGGGGTTTTTCGTGGGCGCGCTTGCCTGCCCCATTTATCGGCTGTCGTTGTTGTCTGGCTTTTCTTTCGCCATTTTTGCTTGGGTTTTGAAATATAATCGCAATAAATAGGCGACTTTTGCCGAGATATTTTGTTTGCCCCTATTTTCCTCCGGTGTGTGAGCGAGTTACCCCCTTCTGTCGTCTTGCTGCGGGTTCATGACGCGGGGCACTTTGCATCTTGCACCGTTTTGTTCCCCCTGGTTTTCTTCGGCCTTGTTTGCAATTTTCTTTTGAAGTGCCTTCGCCGTTGTCCCCACTCGTTGGCTGTGCTGCTGTGTCCAAACTGGCAGCGCCTGCGCTTTCCGGTGCAGCGTCCGTGGGATTTCGGCATCTATTTCTGTCCCTAAATTGGGATGGGCTTGAAAGTATTGTTCTAAAAGCGGCAGTATTTGTCATTTGATCTGCTTTAATCTTTTTTCTGAGGCGTCGTGGTTTCTCAGTATTTTGGAACGATGGAGTCCCGACTTTGGCAGGAGTTGCAGGCGGCGCAGCATCCTTCTGCTGTTGCAGCAACACTACCTGTTACAGGGGTTCCAATGAAGGGCGTTATTCTCGCCAACCGTAAAACAATATTTCATAAAACCCGCTTATGCCCACGTCTAACCAGCGGGAGCTGCCATCTTGGGGCAAGATGTAACTTCGCCCACACTGAACACGAACTGCGGCCTGCTCCCAACCTCGACAAAACGAAACTGTGTCCATCAGTTCTACATCCCGGCACCGCATGCCCGGCTAACGCGAAAGGGGAAACATGCAGATTCGCCCACAGCAAAGCGGAGATTCGCCACACCACCAACATGTTCAAAACGAACATGTGCCTCAAGTGGATTCGAGGAAAATGCAAGGTAGGGTTTCGCGCTTCATACGCTTCTGTATTTTACATTAGAATTTTTTGTGATTTTTGCTCGTGCTGTTTTTGTAGCCTGCTCCTTTTTCTTGTCTTTTCCCGGTGGCTTGCTTTTTGCTGCCATCATGTGGTGTAGAGTTGCTTTTCCACTTTCTTTCATAGTGCAGCTGTGCAACTGTGCTTTCCATGCGTTGTGCTGTGTGCTGGCGCCTCAACGCCCTACCTAGTATGGATGAGGATGTGTGCATTGTCGTGCCTGTGCCAAGCCCCATGTATATTTACATATATTGTTGCACCTGTTTGTGGTCTCAGAAAGAGGCACAGTGCAATCACGCACATGGCCATCAGGAGTTGAAATACTACCGAGCGGTGGCGATGGCTAGCGGTGGTCGGGACTTCGCTCGGGAAAGCGAAGCCACGATGTCTCGCAGACGGAAACAAGGTGGTGCTGTGGGCGCAGTTGGAGGAGGGAATGCTGCTTCTACTTCGCGTCTGTCTCTATTGAAGGAGACGGTAGGAGGTAGTACCCGGGAAAGAGCTTCAGGACGCTCATCTCGCAATAACGGGAACAGCAGAGAGCAGCAGCCTCCAAAGAACAGCTGCGAATCTGTGAACGCTGCCCTCGCCGCTCTGTATGAAGAGCTGTTAAAAGGCGCCAGCAGGCGAGAAGCCATCTACGGCTCGGCAGGTGGAGTCGGCACCCCTCTGCAAGATGATAGCACAACTGCCACAGATGAGCTCTCGGATTTCTCTTCTTTCTCGTCTAGGGGCCTGTCAGAAGCGCTGTGCTCAGCACCTGCCCCCACAACAACCGTCAACTTCGGTTCATGTGGGGGCCCTTTGCATGCGTCTGCTTCTGACGTTTTCTCTACAACAGCACCGTCCTCGTGTGCAGGTACCCCAACGGCTTCTCTTAGCAGCAATAACGATTTGAAACTGGAGGTCGACCGACTTCTGCTGCTCAGGGCTCTTGCCGGAGAAAGTGGGGGATTGCTGATGGGTGCATGCGACCCGCAAGAGGAAGAAAGGAACCAAGCTGCAGCAACTGCTGCTGCTGGGAACCTTACGACCGAGCGGGATAGCATGAGGCAACTTGAGGCGAATCTGGCAAGGCTGTGTCTAGGTGACGTCACAGCAAGACATTATCCAGATCCACCTCCAGGGTTTGAACACCTGCAGCAGCAGCACGCCGTTGTGGATCTGGAGCGTCTCGCAACGGCGGATGGTTTCGATTAATAGGATTATTTATTAACTTCAGGGCATACAGGGGATTTCATGGTATGGCTGAACGGTTTGTTCTGCCTTTAAATTATTGTTCGTCTTTCACTTCCTGGCCGTACTGTGATATTTTAGGCCATGTTATTTCAAAAGGAAGGGGAGGCGTTTGGGAGTTTCTTTTGTTGTTTGTTCCTTCGCGATGGATGGTATCTTGTTCCTGTCTGTCCTTTTAGTATATATTTATTATTCAGTTCAGTGGTCGTGTGCGTGTATGCATGCACGGCCTACTAGAATTGCGGTACTTTCGGGTGCCTTTAGAAGCTCGCCAAGGTGTGCGACGTTTAGTTGTAATAATATACGGGATTCGCTGCTCTTTTCAGCATCGAAGACCTCGAGATGGTGAAGGTGTAGAGGAGAGGCCTGATGCTCCTTTCCAGTTGTGCTTTTATGATTTTAATTCTTAGTACAATGATGTAAAGTCTGGGAAGATGAAAGACAGAAGTACAGGCTAGACAGTTGTCACTGTCTCGCACATACTTGTGTTGGGTCCACAGATATGAATGTCTCCCTCGTGAGAAGTCGTTCGTTGTGGGCTCATATGATTTTGTAATATTTTAAATATTTTAAATATTGTTCCCCCCCCCATCAGGAGGGGGGTTTAGGCAGACAGGAGGGTTGTATTTCTTCTTCTGTTAGCCATGAACGTTTGCTTGTCTGCAAGTTGTAACGACGCATATGGGGAGTAAATGCGGTGGAACCCAGGCCATTTCGCGTTGTTCACGGAGGAAGTTGAAGATGTCATTGGTTTTGATAAAACAAGGTCGTCAGATTACGGGGTAGATTTAATTATGCATGCGTTCTATTTATTTATAAATCCGCATGACCTATCGGTGTTTTTGCAAAGTCGGTGGTTTTCTTTGCGTACCGAGGGAATGTGGCGATTGTGTACGATGGGGGTACATAGCAAAAAAAAAAACAGGCAGAAGAAACGGCGAACTCGACAGTGGATCGAAGAAACGAGACTCTGAGAATATTCACGCCATCGTCGAGGAGTTAAATATCTGTGCAGGTGTACAGCAGAAAAGAACAACAGTCGTCTCGCCAACCTCGCCGATTTTAAATATCGAGCCAGGGCCTTTTGTTGGAATGTAAACTGATTACTTTGTTCTTGTTGTATTGTTCATGCTGAAGTTGTGTGCTGTAACCCAGCCGAGCCCCCTGTGCTTCCATCCGGTAATAACGGGGTATCGGCGGTGCCAAACTAATGAGGGTTGCCATGATCTTTGTTGTATGAAATAAAATCAATTTCGTGCAGTGAAGTTCGTGATGTCCCCTATTTGTTGGAGCATTGCTTGTTTTATTGTGCGTTACGGAGGCACAGTGTGACCCTCCTTTCTTTTTGCTTGCCCTGTTTTCGGTGGGGTTGTTTTACGGCGAATACTGGAGTTGTACGGCGTCCAGCAGCTGCAACGATCAAATAAATGAATGCGCATGTGCGTGGAATGACCTGTTTGCAGCTGCTGATTTGTTTGTAGGGCTGTGCAACTCGGAACACAAAACTGAAGTGCAAATCACATGCATAGGCCATGTAAAATACATTCGCATGCATGTGCTGTAGCCACTGCGGCTGTTTTAGTTGCTTTGGAGTTTTCATTTAACGGTATTTGGCCTCTTGGTTTTCCCCAGCAACCTTTTATTCCCGCTGGGTTTTTGCGTGCAGCTTACGCATCGCTAACTCCCAAAGCCTAATACCCCTTTTTATTTAATTCGGTGTATGTGTGAACTCTCCTAAGGAGAGAGTAGCAGTAGCTTATAACCAGCATCCTAGATATAAGTACTGTACAAGGAAGGCCGTTTACAGTTTTACACCAGACAGGACATGTGTACAGTGAGGGTATGGGGTTCGTTAATAGTGCTTCTCAAGCTGCGCTTAAGGGAGCATTCAGTGCAGTTAGACATATAGTGAATTTTCGCAACAGGCGAACATTTTATATCGGAGTTTGTCTTGAGCGATCTAACAGAACTTTGTACTTCTCCAAAAAGTAACGAACTTGAAGGGTATTCCAGTATTTATGCCTTCTTTCCTAACCATACAATTTTCCTCTGGGGCCCCTGTCTGTCTAGGGCCGTGGGGCCCTTCGAGCAGACCAGTAGCCTCTTAAACTATCCCGACAGGGTTCTCCGGTAAGTTTTCAATTGTGTTGAATTGTTTTAATTGAGTTTAAGAGTTTTAAAAACTTTTCCTCCCTTCTCATCTCCCCTGTCGCCTTCAACCCACGGTGGCTGGCACTCCGCCGGGCCGTCTGGCTTTTCGTCGCTGCCTTTCTATACTCAATGCATACATGCAACAGCGTCAGCAATAACTACATTTAAATTCATTATTGACTTCCCTAATTAATTTCAAGGAGCGCATGCCAAGAGCTTCCTCACTGCAGCCGCCGACGCACGCGCTATATATTCAATTCACCGCCCAGTTGGCAGTGCTCATCTGAAGGAAAACTTCTCCCTTTCAAGATATCTGCTGCATATGTAATATGAGCTTGGAGAGGCGTCATATTTTCGTAGATGTCGTTGCAGGAGGCAGGATTCACTTAACCAGGTGCTGCTAGTAGCAACTGCAGCAGCCGAAAGCACAGAAACAGCAGCATCTATTTTAGGCAGCTGCTTGCTTGGTTGAGTAGTATCAACAGAGACAGAGGCAGCAACAGTAGCGGTGGCATGCATATTCCCTTATTCAACAGCAGATGAAACATCATTATCATCATCAGCAGCAGCATTGCCTCCCTCCCCTCTCCCGCTGTCATTGAAGCATCGCTTCTCTCGTTGTGCAGAGTCATAGATGGCCTCGCGCTGAACCCACAAGACCCAAGGCATAAAAGCAAGATAACGGTGGTTTATGGTGTCATGTGTCTAGTTTTTCCTGTTGGGTAGATGCGATGATTCATTAGTACTTTCGTACAAGTCTGTCATGATTCCGTCTACGATCCCAGCACCGCATCAGCAGAGATACAAGAGAATACCCACAAGAGGGAGCTTATCAGGTACTTGTCCGGCGTATGAAAGTGCAGTCTTGGCTGCTCTTGCTTCAGCAGCACCAGCGGCAGCAGCAGCAGTAGCAGCAACAGCAACAGCAGCAGAAGCGGCGGCAGCGCCAGCTGTATCCCTAGCACCACCCAATCAACTTCATCGTGCATGGCCAGCCCTTGAGCGGGAGGGAAGAAAAATAGCAGCAAGTCTGCGGATACACTTGAGCCCCCCCATAAAACCCTCCCAAGGGTTTATTGAACCTTCTCTTAGGGGCCCCCCTGCATTCGCGGGTACTGAGGTTGCTCTAAAGACGCCATGTGGGGGACCCTCCAAGGAGCCGTCCTCTTGGGTTCAGGGAAAGCTCTGTAGGGAGGCCTCTGTGGGGGCCCCCTTAGCTGGGGGCCCCCTGCGAGGGGCCCCTGTGGGGGGGCAGTGCAACCGCCTGGGGGTGCGCTGGCAGCAGGTGATGGGCAGGAAAGCGCTGGAGGTTGAGCTTCTGATCCCGAGTTCTTCAGAGAAGAATCACAGGCATCGTGTTTACCTACGCTTCATGCAGAAGCAGCAGCTGCAACAGCAGCAGCAGCAGCAGCAGCAGCCTTCGCAACAGGATTTGGATCATGGGTGCTGCTGCGGGCTACACAGATCATATGGCATCTGCCAGCATGTGGCGGCGCTGCTGCTGCTGCTTTCCCTCACAAATGTGAGCAGTGGCGAGGATCCTGCTGCAGCTGATGCTGCTGCTGCTACTACTGCTGCTGCCAATCTACCTGCACCAACAGCAGCGGGTCTTGCTGCAGTGGATTCAGCCGCCGCTCCCACAGGAGAAGCTACACGCTACCCGGGCATTGGTTCGGCACCAGCAGCAGCAGCAGCAGCTGCTGCTGCTGCTGCTATTGTTGATGCCGCTGCTGCTGCCGGATCCCCTTCAGGTTCAACGTTACCGCCAACGCAGCCGCTGCTTTCGTGGTCGTCCTCCACAGATCGAATTTCCCTTAGCCTATTAGAGGCAGCAGCAGCAGCAACAGCAGCAGCAGAAGCAGCAGAAGTACGAGCGCAATTCTGCTTATCGGGAGCACGAGCAGCAGCAGCACTGCCAGGCGAAGGGTACGGGGTACCAGAGCGATATCAGCCTCTTGCTGCTGGCAGTGCAGCAGCAGCAGTCGAATCTGCTGCTGCTGCACTCTCAGCTGCAGCACAAGAAGCTGAATTTAACAGAGCAAAGGAGGATGTTGCTGCTGCTGCCTCGTGTCTTTTCCCTTATGAGCCCCCTAGTGATTTAGAAACAAGCGCTACGAAAGCAGCTGCAGCACAAGCAGCACCAGAAACAGCAGCAGCAGCAGCAGCAAATGTGGCAGCAGCAGCAGCAGCAGGAACAACGCCAGCAGCAGCAGCCGCTGAAATGGAGGGGTACGAGTCTGACAAATGCTCAGTAGATGAAATTGAGAGTGACTGTAACGACCGTCAGCCTCATACGAGCAGCAGCAACATGAGCAGCAGACGCAGCAACAGCAGCAGCAATAGCAGCAGCTGCTGCTGCGGTGGTCTAAGCGTCTGGAGCGTTCTTACGAGGCAGCATGCATTAGGGAAGGCAGCAGCTACACCCATTGCCCACCGCCGCAGCAGCTGGCTGTCAAAGAGCGACAGCAACTGCAGCAACTGCAGCAGCAACTGCAGCAGCAACTGCAACAGCAGTAGCAAGAGACGCAGAAGCAGCAGCAGCAGATACACACCAGGCATGCTGTCTAGCCCATTTGCATGCAAACACCAACCACGGAAGCTAAAGACTCGCCACTCCCTTACAGATATCCCCACAGCGCAGACAGAACCGCAGCAGGAGCTTGAAGAGCAGCAGCAGCAGCAGCAGCAGCAGCTGCAGCAGCAGCTGCAGCAGCAGCTTCAGCAGCAGCAGCAAGCTGCGCGGTGCGCTTACCGCAGGGTGTCAGATAGTTTTCAGTATAACAACAGGGGAATGGTGGGGGGCCCACAGGGGCAGCAGCAACCAGATGCTCCCTGGTACTATCCAAACCCTAAACCCTAAACTCTAAACCCTTTTAGCTGCAAGGGAGGGGCCCCTGATGAGTTGTAGCAGCAGCTAGCTGCAGGCAGTGCAGCGCTTTTGGGCTACTTGACTCTTTTTTTTTTGTTTTTATTGCTTACGTCTCCCCTACGAATACTGCTGCTGCTGCTGCTGCTGCTGCTGCTGCTGTTGCTGTTGCTGTTGCTGCTGGCATAGATGAAGATAGCCATACAACAGGAGGAGGGAAGGAGGACATAATTAGATATAAATGGAGACAGTAGCAAACAGAGACAGCAACACATATACACTAACGAGGAGACACCTGTCTCCTCCTTAAAGGAGACAGATAAGGAGACAGATAAGGAGACAGATAGGGAGACAGATAAGGAGACAGTCACACCCTTAGTAAGAGAGGGCAACAGACAGCAACAAGGAGACACACAGAGGGGCCCTTCGTTACTTAGTTGTCCATACTGTTAGGGGACTAGATGTTTATAAGGAAGGGCCCCCCCAACACCTCCCCCTTAATCTCCCCCCTATAGGGTCCTCTGTGCAGCAGCAACAGCAGCAGCAGCAGCAGCAGCAAAAGTAACAGCAAAAGGTAGCAGGGGCCTAATGCCCATAGATGGTGTGTTAGTAAGTATACTTGTATCGGTATTAAAGGAAAGGATAATAAGTACAGATAAATATATATAAAATAGATATAAGTATATATATATATATATATATATT